TTGCTGTCGTTGTTGTTGTTATTGTCTTTATTTTTTAAACCTGTTTGTACATACGCATATAGTTCCAATGGATATTAAACCATGCCAGGCAGTAATACAGCAAGAGCAACAACAGCAACAACAGCAGCAGCAACAACAACAACAACAATTATTATTACCACAACAACAACAACAGCAATGTAAGTCTTTAATGCCCGTTAACGGAAATGAAGGAATGTTAACAACATCGACAGCAAATACTTCCGTTACCACACCTTCAATGACAAATTCCACACACCAGTTGTCTGCCGCACAAGTAAATGTCGTCTTCGTCGGTAGTCAGTGTAACACCACATCTTCCCGTTATGAAACAGTTAAAGGCAAACTGCCGAACATTAACAACATAACCATATCAGTCGCAACAGAAATCGAAACAAGTAATAGAACAACGGCAGGTCAAAGAATGTCAACATCGACGCTGGTCAACGGAAGTTGTAACAACCACAATAACATTGGCAATAGTAGTAGTAACAATAATACAAATGGAAACAAATCGACAACAAATCCTTGTGACCCTGAGCCACCACCATCATCCTCGTTATCCCCAGCATCAGCGGCATCATCATCAACCACCTCTTGTGTATCGACATTTGCGCAACTCTCGTTGCAACGACAACACCAACAAGCCTTAAATCCTTTGGCGTGCTCGGCCAACCGTATAACCTTAGCTGAATGCAATTTGAATATCAATTGCAATAACAACAGCCACAACAATCATCGTTATCATCATCCTCATTCCCATCATCACAATCTTCACCAAAGTAATATTGAAGCGGCATTGGCTCTACAGCAGCACTTGCTACAGCACCATCAACATCAGTTGAATAATTCCGCTCAACAACAGAATAACAATTGTGTGTTTAATGTCACCGCTGGCACTAGCACCACAACTATTGACACAATGTGTCCATTGTCACCTGCATCGGTCACATCCGCCTCCCTATCATCAAGCAAACTATCGTCATTGTCATCACTTTCCGCTTCCTGTTCATCTACTAACTCGGCATCCATAACGACCGCATTGTCGCCATTATCGTGCGGCTATTGTTGCCAACCAATTTGTGATCGTTATATAATGCGCGTCGTTGACACCTCATTCCACGAGAACTGCCTTAAATGTGCAACATGCTCCTTGCACTTAGTGCATTCTTGCTTTAGCCGCAACGGTAAACTCTACTGTCGTATCGACTACGAAAGGTAAGTGCAATGTAATGTTTTAACGAAGAGTTTCAATTTTATGCGAGCGCCTAAGACTTTAAATTTTTAATTAAAGTTATGTGCAAGTTTCGTTTTTATTTGCAATCAAAATGCACTGGTTTTTCTCCTTAAACCGTAAACAAATGAAAAACTAAGCCGCTTAAGTGGCCCTATAGGCAAACGATCTCAACTACCAACTCAATGGTCGTAAGTCCAAATCTCAAGTGCAATAGAGTTTTAAAATAAAGCCGAGATTCTTGCATGCCAGTGCTTTAGAATTTACTTATTCTTTGAATTTACTCTTCTGACTAAATTAATAGTAATAATATTATAATAATAATAATAATAAAAAATGAAGCAAAAATATTTTATAACATTTTGCAATGCCAGCCCAGAAAAACATTGAACATTACTTCCAGATTTAAGTCCAACATCTTAAGTTTTGCGACAGAGAGAATATATCTGAAAGACGGATAGAGATAGACGCGGCTGTAGGTAGATAGATTTAGATTGATACTGACGAACAATGCAAAATATATTTTCTTATGCAGCTAAAGCAATAATGAACATGTTCTCATATGGGTGATCCTACAATATCTGTACAAAAATACAAAAAGTCGGCTGTATTCAGACAAGATTATGTAATATCGAAAATTTACTTTTTTATCGTTTCTTGTTTCAGTTTCTGTTGCGATGCATGAGCAAGAAAAATGTGACCATAGTCGCGTTTAAGTTTCTTACTTGTCATAATATATGTATGCTAGATCAGGATAAATTTCAATATCTAACTGAAATTTATGGCAAGATTTGAACGGAGAAATTATTTTTTCGGGCCCTTGTAAAACTATACGGTAAAGTTAATGAGCAAAAATGATCCACTTCCGGAAAATTTCACCTCTTCTGCAATGGGTAGTTGTAGAGCAAATGTTAACTTGGAAGAAGGAAAGTATAGAGGTGTAAATCTAAATAGATTGAGAACATATTCAAAAATCGTCTAACGTCACCGGTGTCCAAACGACTTTGTTTAAAACTCGCAAAACGGCCGCTAATTTGTCTTTTCGCCAGGCAAAGGTCTTCATAACAACGCTAAATATTGGCGGTATTTCTGCTCATCAAAGAAAAATGCTTTTTATAATTTGTTTTGCATAATATTTTGTACACTTGTCATCAAAGGATGACAGATATAACAGAATGACATTTCGTCAAAACGCTTGCAACACCCAGAAGGAAGCTTCAGAGAACTCATAAAGCATATACATTTTTGCTCGATTCAGGCATGTCCGTTTGGGTAATATCTGTTGTAAACACTCTCCTGGCTATAGCTACAATAGCTTATATGTTAAGGTGATTACCAGCGCGAATCACTAAATAAATTTAAATTTTCAATTTATTAAAAGCCTGCAACAAAGCGAGGAAGAGAATTCGGATAGCATTTGCACATAGGTAGCACTTCAAATGATACTTCCCTTAATTATATATGTTTTAAAGGAATACTTAATTGGTTATGTACCCGGAGGCATCTGTTAGCATATATAAGTTCTTTCATTGTTTTTTACTTTCTGCTTATATGTTCGTGATACAATCTGTCCACCATAAGTGAGTTCTGGCTGACCAAATTAATTGGACAACAGTATTGTAAGAAATACTTCGTTATCAAAACGCTGTGCAGAGTTTGGATCTAAAAGCCATCATAACTCATTTGTTTCAAAGGTAGGAAGGCACTTCAACAACCTAAAAAAAAAATGTTGTTTTCACAATTATTGTGGGCGCAGGGCGATAGACAATGAAATAATGACATTCTAGGAGATTATGAAGGTTTCAGGGTCAGAAAACATTCTTTTTGAAAATATTACAAAATCTCAAAACTGGGGCCGTTCCTACGACGCCCCATCTGCCTGAGGGGCTCTGCGGCAAGCAGTATAAGTGGCCCAAATTTGAATTAGAAAAAAAAACACTTAATCGAAATGCATACAGTTAAGTTACACTTCGTAGGATTTTTAAAAATATTAACAGATGCAGGTGTTTACACGAAAAAATTTAATTTTCAGCAAACCTATAAAAAATACCACGGCACTAAAAGATGTTGTTTTGAGGATGCTGTAAAATATTCGGCTGGAAAAAGTGAAAATGGTGGGGACAAAATCGCTTCTATATTTTGCTATAGATATCTTTTCTTACTATAATGAATATTTTATTATCATTTTCTGTTATTCTGCATTCCCAGCACTATAAAAATATCCTTGCATGTTCAAATATTTTTCCTCATTCTCTTTCCTCGAAAATTTTAGAAAGTGCCCCTATTGCTGCATCTGTCGACGACAGAACCGCACGTTTTACGCTTTACGTACAAAGAAGTGATATAGAAAACGGCGAAAAAATGTTTAATGCTATAGCTGAATTCATAAACAACACTTAAAACTTCATCCCCGACTTTTTATTCCCTAGTAGAAGCATTGAAAGGCTTCGACTCATGTTCATGCTCATATCTACTGAACGTCTTGAGCCACACTGATATATTTTTGTGTGGAAATGTGCTTTTAAACACCTATGTGAATGTATTAAAGGACTTAGAAATCAACAGGTAAGATATTGGGCAGCAACTTTTCACCAGTTCTCCATTTGACAAAGCCATTCTTTTTTGAGCGCTTAAGGAAAAGCTCAGATATCTAAGGAAACATTTTTGGATTCTTTTCCGCATATTCTAAAGAGTTGAACGCATTACGAAAGCGTATAAAAAAGTTTTTTTTTTACAGTTGTGCGAATAGAAATTTGGATCTTTCCCAGTCTTATTGTCACGATTCAGTTTTCAGTCATTAAAAAGCTGGCTGCCGTTACATTATTGCGGATGAGTTTCTCACGCTTTATCAGTTGTTATTTTATGACGGGAGACGTGCTGATTGAACGGGTAGTTGCAAACTATTTTGAGCTAGGACGGACGCGATTAGCGAGTTGGGGTGGAAACACGTATTTGAAATCCTTTGCAAATACCTTACATTTTTCAGAGCAGCTTCAGGTCTATTGTCTGTTGCAATTTCTCAGTAAACACTCTATTTTAATTGTGGAACTATAATTTTTCGATGCTTAGGCTTGTGATTTCATGGATTTCAAGTGTGACTGCAAATATCGTTCTCTTTGGTCCCTAAACACGATTTCAACATACTGGTGCACTGCGACAAATTTTGTTTCATTAAGGCAGCTCTACATTTATGGCATTAACTTCTGATGATTCCCTTTAGCATATTTGTAACTATCATCTATAAATTGGGTGCCTTAAACCTCGATGTTGTCATTTCCACTGTCTTCGGCAACGGGTACAAATTTCGTATACGGGATTGAGAAATATATGTAAAGCTACCCTTCAAAAGAAGGATACTATATACCGTGGTAATTTAAATCCGATTTATTTATAACTTGAGAACATGTATATAAATTTCTAGTTCAAATAGAGTTGTTCATTTAATGTTTGCATTCACCGAAGCCACTCACATTGTAGTGGCAATCTTTTAACGATTTAATTTTGTGCTCAAGCGGGCTTAAGTTAAGTAACTAATTATTAAGCCTTTCTTGTATCGTATATTGCATGGTATGCCCTTTGGCATGAGACTTAGTTCAATTTATATGCATATTCGTTCCGGTAAGTTGTTGCACAGTCGTCACTTCAATTAATACGCCTCCCTAGCTCGTTTTTGGCTCGGATACGTAGCAGAAGCTATTTTGGAGAAGCCTCCTCACACTACGAGGAGGCTTCTACGCTTGCGGTCTTCCTTTTACGATACAGTAAATGGCGTAGCTTCCATATTAGATGAATTGTGAATCGTCACAGCGCAAAAATAAAGTAGGAAAGCTGCAATTTAGGACATTCCAAGATCGATTAAAAATATGTGAGTAAAAATGGGCGTGATCTGTTCGCATGCACTTCCACAATGTGACAAAAAAAGTAAAACAATTTCGAAAAACAGCGACGATTTTTTTACATATTTGTCTACAACTACCGATCGCGTCAATATATATTTCAAAAGCTGGTACCCAAGCATTTGCGAGAACCAGCTGCATGTTCCTTGCGAAAATTGTCCCAATCGCTTATGTAATACGATTACAATCAATGATTAAATAGGTGAGTTAGGATTTATACACCATTTAACGGTCATTGAATTCTTTTTGATACTATCTGCTACTATTTGATTTTACTAGATTTGCCTTGATTTCTGCAATATGGGACAAATTTATTCGAAATAGTCAGGCTTGTTGTCAGCCTGACGCTGGTCTTACAATTGACGAACAATTGTTCCCAGCCAAATTAGATGTCGTTTTACGTAGTATATGCCAAATAAGCCAACGGATCCCGTAAGACCGGCCATATTTAGGGAAAGACGAACCGCGGCCTGCGTATGCTTGCTGAACTAAATTTATACTGTGGTGAAAGCATAACAACTGACAACTGACAACTCGTCCACAAGTATTGCGTTTCCAAAAAAGTTTACGTATGAATAGAAAGGAATTGCTAAAAATTGCAAATAACAAAAAGGATCATATGATGCGATATTCCACAAAACTGTATAACGCAGATTAATATATTCTCATAATTTGCATATCGAAATCAAAAAAAAAAAAAAAAAGGTACTATTGCTTAGCTCTAAGCACAAATAGAATGCGAGGATAAAACGGAACGCAAACTTATTCCTATAACAGTTCCGCTTTACAAGAGAACTAAGTGTGGAGCTGGTACTCTCGACTAAAGCACTAAAAAATATATTGTGAAAGCAGGATCCAGATTTGACAGCCATCAGTGGACACAGCTCAAATAGACATGTCGCGGAAGAATTTTTCCGTTTCAATTAGCTGAAGAATTGGACATCGACCACAATGACAACACACACAAATTTTGCTACGTAAGAAAAGTATACTTAAGTGTGATTGCGTTCAATATAAGAAGTTTTGCATACGGAAAGCGTATATTCCATGGTGTAGATGTTACATGCAAAAAATGTATTCAAGAAAACTGCTAAATAAAGATATATAAGGTATAAGTAATTTAGAGAAAAACCCGTCAAAAAGATAAATTTCATTAAATATGTAAATCGTGTAGCTGGTAATACCAAAAACAATCTCAATGAGCGTGAAATAGAATGGAAACTCTATCTCACAAATTTAATCAATGATTAAATGGACGTATTAATTGACTGATCGGGGCTATTTATGCGACGAAGACGCGGGTAGTTCTATCAAGTACTTGAGTACCGGTATGTTCACGGGATAGAAAGTTATAGATGAAAATGTGAAAAAATTGTCGGTCTTTTTCGAGGTTGTTTTGGTTTTTTTGGCATGTATGTGAGCATATCATCTAACTAATCATGGAACGTGTGTCGTAAATTTCTGCTTCCTTATTTTTTCGCCTTTGACGATTCATACAATTTACCCGTCAAATTGGCGGATTTCAGTAAAAATATACATAGACGAAACCGTCCGTAAATCTAGTGTTAAAATAATTTTCAATTTGGAAATTTGGGTGCAACATATTTGCTCTATGACGTATAATGTCTATGGATTTTGCTGTAATCGCTTCGGTTTGTAGTACTCGTTCGGGCCAATCTAGTTTGTGAAACTTCTTGTTCATAGCACTTTGGCCTATTGCAGCAAACGTTTTTGGGATGTAGTTTTCGTACATTCATTAGCGACGATTTCTGGAATCGTTGTTCTTCTCTTTTCAAAATTTCTCGTCGTTTACCTGTATCCAAGCGTATGCACTTATTATATATGTATGTACATGTATAAATGCAGACATCCGAACTCCGCTTTTGTTGCCACACACTTAAATGCAGCTATAATGATCAGAGCTATGAAAATCAATGATTTTAAAGCAATCAAAAAATGTCTTATGTCCGCCTGTTCATGAACACTGATCATATTTATAAACACAAGTAAAGCAGGTATTTTTAACACAGAACGCGAAAATATTAATTGTAAAATTGAAAGTAAGGTGATGTGCAGTTGCAATCACTGTTCATTTATGTTATTGCAGATGTCGGATTTTACTAATAATTCCAATGAATGAACGAATGAATGAATGATTGAAATGAATATGTTAAAAAAAAAAAAAAATTACTATAAATAAAACAAATGAAAAAGAGAAATAGTGGGGAAATTGTCGATTTCCAAAAAGTTGGAGCGAAATTTCTTTAACGTCACTTTAATGAGATATTTTATGCTACCATCTGGCAAAAGTTTCCAACTAGTTCTAAAATGAAACATCTCGTTTAAGAAATATGTTCTTTATATGAATTGTCCTGCTATTCTAGACAATTTATGCGTAATCGTTGCCTTGGATGCGGTCATAGGATAGCTGCTGATGAGTTAGTGATGAGAACCCTTGAAGCAAATGCTTTCCATTTGAAATGCTTTGTGTGCGTTGTATGTGGCGCGGCACTTAAGAAGGGCGAACAGTACGTTGTAAAGCAGGGTCAATTGTTTTGTCGTTTCGATTACGAGAAAGAAGTGGAAATGTTGCAAGGTTATGGTAAGCGAAGTATAATAAAACTTTAAAAACCTTCAACTTTTTCGTTTACTTGAAAGATTTCTACGGTGACGATATGCTTACACCGAAGATGGATGGCCGTCGCGGTCCTAAACGGCCACGTACTATTTTGAATACACAACAACGGCGAGCATTCAAGGCTTCGTTTGAAGTTTCACCCAAACCCTGTCGTAAAGTGCGTGAGAATTTGGCCAAAGAAACCGGATTAAGCTTAAGAATAGTTCAGGTAATAAAAAATTTTCTTTAAATATTTAAACAATTTGCAAAGCGTACACTTGTGAAGGTTTGGTTTCAAAATCAACGAGCCAAGGTAAAGAAAATTCAAAAGAAAGCTAAACAAGAAGGCAACAATAAAAGCAACTGTGATTCACAAGACTCTCAAGAGTCTGACAACAGTAATATGACAAAGATTAAAGATGAAGTTCAAAGCGATAATGAGTCTATGATGGATTCTCCGTATTCTAATAGTAATGGAATGGACAAATTACGCAACTGTCTAAAGGACGAAAATGAGAATGCTCCTTTCAATTGTATGGAAACTAATAAAGGTATGGAGAGACTTTATAATATATATTTAATTAGACTGAAATAAAAAATAACTAGGCAAAGCTTATATTAATTCGTTTGCTTTTTCATTTGTTTTTTTTTTTTTTTTTTTAGAAAATTGCGACGAAAGTAATGAACCGGTTCTGAATACAATTTTGGGTCTAAGTTATGCCACTTTTCAACAGTTGATGGGTCCGTTTACACAAACCTCAATGATTAATCCGATCGATCGTTTATATAGCATGCAAAATTCCTACTTTCGTCCTGACGAATTAGTCTACAATGAAGTGATGAACAGCAATACGAATAATGTTGGTGGCGTTAATGGCAGTAGTAGTAGTAGTGGTGCTAATGTGAATCATAAAGATAATGTGGATAGTTAGGCTGTAATCTAAACATTTTCTAATACATTTATATCTTTTTAAAATAATTTTTTTACTTGCATACTACCCAGTAATCTTTGTCAAAAAAGTAAGAAGCATATGCAAATCCACTGAAGATGTTATGCAAATATTTCTAATCTTTAAACGTTGGTTTAATATTAAAAGTAAATGCCAAAGATAATGTTAAAGGAAATCAAAATAAATAAATAATTAATTAATTAAATAGGAAATTACATACATAATATAGTTTGGTTTCCATGAGCTACAGTGTGTTTGGGAGTGTGTGTGTGTGTGTGTGTATATGCGTTCCACCAGTGTTCACGTTTCGCCATGTATTGCGCCTACTACTAGTACTAAAACTATCACGCACACTTCATCGATCGCTCTTCTCAACACGACCACTCTTAGATGTTTAGCGTGCTGCATGTGGTTGGACCATAGTCCCCTATTTCACATATTATACTTATTTATTACATATACACTATTAAACATCAACTTAGATTCAGCTGAACTGATACTATGCACTTATATTAAAGGTTTAACTTAGCTAAGAATGCAAAAAGAAAGAAAGGTCTTCAAATGATGTGATTAATGAGTACGTATACGAAATATTAGATCCAAATATGCAAGTCAGCACACCATCATAAGCGCATAAGTAATCAAATCAGTTATTTGAGATTATACTGTGTAGCAACTTAGTTCAATGCAAACATGGCACCACATTGCAAAGGTAAACTAATCGATTTAGTTCATGAACGGTATCGGTCATTGGCTAATGTTCAGAAGAATAGCTTTACCGGCACATACAGGATCCGCATTTCGATTTTGATAAACGACCCTAACTAGGTTAAAAGGTGCATAGATGCATTTGATTAGGCTAATTTTTATCAAGGGATAATTTCTTGATGCAGGCATGGAGACATTCAAGTCAACCTCATTCAACAAAACCCGCGAGTCGATAATCCCATTGAACAATTTAACCAAGAACGTAATGCCTAAATTAAATTTTCTTTTTTCGCGCGAAGGTGAGATATAAGCAGTAAACTATCTTCGCACGGTGAGAAACGGACATGTGCATCCCAACCTAAGCAGAATTTTTTCTGTCAGAAAACAATTGAACCCACATAACACGAGTAGGTGAAAATTGGCTTCCACTACTTTGGGCCCGACCTCGTTCACAGCACCCAAAGCTTATCCGCTGTTTCCAATTGCTTCAGTCCTCTCTGCTTCTTCTGGTATATGCATTTCATGTCATCTGCCAGGATAACAATCGGGATCGTCCCTGAAAGCACTACGTCTATCTCTCCGAGATAGTTTGGAAGCCGCAATCTTACTTAAACACGCTTAGATGCCAAATTTTCGATGTCAACCTGCACGCTGCTTTCATAGTGAGCGCTGAAGCCGCCACATGGCCTGCGTACAGATTTGTAGATATAATTATTGTAACTTACTTTCCAGCAATTGTAGGTCCTCAGACATTTGTCATAATACGTGCGAAGATTCTTATACGGGGCCACGAAAGTATTGAGAGTCTCTCCACTAGCCAGACGTACTCCCCCTACTACGTGTTCTCCTTCCCGGCATTGACCAGCCGCATACTACTGTAAAGAGTTTGCTTACATTTTGCTGACGTTGATCGGCTGCTTCATACGTACCTATACGTACCTATAATGACGTTAAAACAGTTTTCGTCGAAAGATACATCCGTCCAATTCTATTCGGTTACTTTGGACTGTATGTTTTTGAATGCTTCAATCCTGACGTCCGGAAATGTTGCCTGATGGTCGATGTATGTGTATTTCTGACTAAGCAGCTACTTGCACCCTGCTGCTATGCTATCTCTAGCTAAAATGATATTAATATTTTATTGTCTCCCCGCCTTTGTAAGGATGCCATTGCGCGAAACATTCAGCGGTCTTCTCATCAAAAAGCGATCTCTTACGTTGTTGGCGCTGCTACCCACTCTACTATACTGGCATTAATTTCCGTTGCGGTTATGGTTGGGGTTTCACTATGAGCAGTAATAACTGTTCTAGCATAGATTGAAATTGGTCCTGCGCCTAGTTCGGGCAAGCAAACAATCATTACATGAACATTAAAGTGTATTTCTTTCATTTAATCTGTTAGGTACCCGGTCCTCTGAATAAGGGTCGTAACATTTGAAAATTACCTATATTGGTTCCATTCTTCTATATTGATTGTTTGTGCAATCGATCGATGTCCTCGAAGTTTCCTGAAACTAGAAGGACGGATCAAAACCAACGGAAATTTTACAACAGCGCCTGCATTTGCAGATATCACTGTAACAGCATTTTAAAGCAAGCTTTTGCAAATATATTGCTGTGAAATTCGTCTTTTGATTTATATCATTCAAAAATGTCTAGAATTCCCTGAATTTTAATTGATATATAATAAAACGTTAAAATTTATTTTTAAATTCATTTTTTTCTATTAACACAATTATATCGTCTTCTTTGTTTAGCGCTATAGTATATATTTTTTCTCTTTCTAATTTTGATGACGGACAGATGACGTCCTGCAGAGAAAAATATTTAGTTCAATATGCGAAATTCGTCAAGCTCCAGTTGGGGTACGCTCGTGCATATGCTGCGGCAACCCTTTTCATAATCCCTTTTTATTTGCAATTATTGAATTTGCCGTAAAATTTTGTATAAGTAACTCTACAACCGCCTTCGCATTTTATATAAGCTCAAGTAATACAAGCTTATCATCCTGTAATGATATTCTAGCACAGATTTCACAAATTTTACGTAAATTGTTATCGAAACACAGAGTGTCGTTCGTTAGCAATACTTTGATAAAAAGCTATGACTTTTTTTTCCCCCCCACCCCGAAGTAAGCGGCTGATGTCTTGTAATTCTTTCTGACTGCGAAGAAGAGATTTACGTGTACAGTATGGATTTTGATGATAAGCCTATGTTCTGGTTCTATCGGTATCCTCTTATTTTGTTAGTCATCCATCCCATCCCCAATGATTCGTAATTTCCTACATTTATCGTCATCAATATTGAGAGTAAACTTTTTAATTAGATTACCTTGTTATCGTTCCCAAGGTTTGGTCATTTTATCTTTAACTCTCGTACATTTTTGCTTTTAAGTTTAGATTATTTTTTGTTTAAAAAAATTGTAATCCATATGTAGCATAGGTAGCCTGTTTTGAAACTATATTTATTCTATGTATAACCTATCGCCTTTTTTATCTTACTTTTCCTTTTTATAAAGTTTTCATTGTGGTGGGGTTTTTCTATTTTGTTTTTTTTTAATTATCGGTTCGGTTGATATGTTGATAGTTCCGATTACGGTATTGCGTCGATTATCAACCTGTATGCTGTCTTGCTTTGGTTGGTTTTTTCCCGTTATGAATGCATATCTGACACGTTAAAATTGTGCTGCGACCAAAATAAATTTTGAAGAATATTTTTTTTTTGTGGCTGGTTATATTTTCCTTGGACTAAGCCGAATGTAAAGATATATGTGTATGGATTGATATGACTGTGTAGAAAGAATATATTTTATTGAAAAATTGAATATTAAGATAATCGCAGAACCGTTAAGGGCAATACTTGAACGACACCAGGTAATGTTTACGCTCGCATTATTTAATTTAGGTAAGTGTTGTTTAAACTTTAATTCAAAAATATTATGTATGCTAAGTAAATTATAGTGCAATCTGCATACCTCTCTCTATTATACAAAGTCCAAATTATTTTTTGTCAGCATAATTCCACAAGCTGCATGATCTAAGTCATTAGGAAGAACTAAAAATTGCAATTGTAAAATGACTGACACTAATTATGCTGATTTAGATATTTGCTTCCGCGTTTGATTTACCCATGCACTGAAACACACAACATTAGCACCTTTGCAATTCTTATGTGTAATTGTTATTGTTATTCGTTTCGTTTTAAAAATTCTATATAAGCTTTCATTTAAATAAAGAAATCAAGTATTAATCGATATGCGCTTGTTGAACTCTGCATCATCAAGCAAATTGCTAGCAAACACACCACATTGGAGTTGCAATGCTTTTGCTTCGGCGGGATTAAGTAATAAGTTTTGATTGCTTTGATTAGCTTTGAACATTAGAATAGCTAAGCTGTGAATAGACTACAAACGCCTTAATCATTTTAATTAATTAGCTAATCAGAGGAGCTTATGAGCAAAAATGTTCTAAAATTCGGTTCACGATGATTACTACAATAAGAAAAATGCTCATTGCTTACTGCGTTTTTAACTACGATAGAAGTGATTGGGAAGTCTGTTTATATACAGAATATTCAGCCGTCAATTATTAATGGGATTTTTATAGAAAGGTTTAAATTACTCTATTTGTAAAGGCATCCCCTCTTTAGATGCTTTACAAATTTTCAATGTGATTTTGCACTTCAACCCAACTTCACTTAACATCCAAATTCTCTAAGAAGATCTTTGAATTTGGCTGAATACTATGTTAGTTTAGGAGCTTTAATGGTCTGAAATGAAAGACACACACTATTGACTGGAATATTGTCAAAATCTTACACTTCTAACTGAAGGACTATTACAAGGACTTGCCTTTGCGCTTGCTTCTTTCAAGACAATCTTATGCATCGACTTTATCGAAAAATCCTATCCAAATCCGAATCGACACGCAAGTTGATTAAATCTTTTTTTTTGCAGAGCTAGCTGAACTATTTAGAATGGGTCTAAAATTGAATTTTGAGTATCAAGCACATGTGCTTCAATATAATTTTTTTATCGTCTTTTCTGCAGGGGAGTAAAGAAAAAACAAAAAAAAAAAAAACACAAAAAAATCAACTCTGCAAGTTTCAAACTCTCTTATTTTAAAATTTACGAAATTCAATCGCATGAAGAAAATAAATTCATAAACAAATCTCTTTCTCATTTTGTATTGCAGGTGCATGCGAATAAATTTGTCTCGCTTAAATGACAAACGAAATCGGTGAAAAATTCAGTGTTAACACTGTGGGTTAGTTACT